GTGCACATTTTAATTCTTTTCCAAAAGGGGAAAACCCCTATTTTATTTAAGGTAGCACGCGCTGCACCGGATGGATAGTGTGATTGTGACGTCACCAAGCTGATCGATATACACAGAATTTAGTTGCAGAGGGATTGTCGTCAAGACCAGACCTGTGTATAAAGATTGTCAGCTAACGGATTTAAATTTTCTTTCATTTACAGGTCATTGATGTCGGATCATGCATGCTTTTTTCGTACATATATTTACGGGAACACAGTTTTTTAGTTTTTTAATGCATGCTTAGAAATTTGATTCTAGGATTTTATTATTATTTACGAACTTTTGAGGGATTTCTACGCCATTGATTTTAATTTCTCAATCCAGATTGGAACGTCAAGCGGACTGCACGTGATTTATACTGCTAACAGAAAATATGTTTTCTCGATTTATTTGTTTATTTACTATTGTCCGAGCGCTGACCACTGGTCGACTCATTTATTGCATGCACACAAAAATAATGCTGGTGTTATAGTACTTCAAAAAAACGTTTATCGATTAATTTTCACAAATACATGTACATGATCTGGAGCAGATTTTATTTTGCAGGAATAGATTTGTATTTCAGAAAGAAATGTATTCATAAAAAAAAAAGAAGGAATAGCATTTTTATAATAAAATAGAAATGGAAATGGGATTCCTAAAAAAAAGTGGGGAGGGGGGGCTAGATAGGTAGTTGTGGGCATTGGATGATTTACAAAGATAAATTGCATGTACGCATCATGAGAGCTGTACAGTTTGAAGCTATAATTAGTTAATTTATTCATTTTTCCATTTCAGTGGCATGAAAACCCCCAAAATACTACGCGTATCATTTCGACAAATACTCTCGACTTAAATAATGTCGTGACTAACATTTTGCTCACATTTTTAAAAATTTTACCCTTAACTTTTCTCTGAGTTAAAGCAGTTTGAAGTGAATGTCAAAATTTAGAACATGACCTTGACCTTTGACCTTGACCTAATTTTCTAAGTTGAGACCCAATGACCTTCAATAAAGCGACTCTAGGTTTATACGGCTTACGGTTTATGAGTTTATATGCATATCACTTATATCAAATGCATAAGGGGAAATAACTCTCATATGGAGACTCCGGAGTACTTTGGTGCAAACCGACTCATCATCTTGAAGATATAGCAAGCACTTTGGTAAAATAAATTTGTCGTCATCTTTTACGGTTGAGAAGGAGTAGTGGACACAAGAAAAACAGTGTTCGGGGAGATAACTCTTACAACGTAAAGTGTACGGTTTAACAGGGTCAGTTTCAAAGCGCATTTACTGTTCGATATCATATGCGAAAAATCTAAGCGACATCTTGCGAAACCACAATACTACGCAAGAACAAAATGTGGCGGAAGAAAAAAATAAAATCTCAGAACAAAACCAATAGGTCTTTCCACGGAAAAGTGGAAAGACCTAATAATAATCAGAACAAAATCAATAGGTCTTTCCACGGAAACGTGGAAAGATCTAATTATCCAATACATTTAAATGGACTGAAATCAAATCATACACTTATATGCGACATTAAAGGCAAACTGACTGTCGTAGTTACTGTGAGCACCTTTCAATGAAGTGACACCCAACAGTTTTTTTTTATATAGTATAACGGAGCCCAGCCTTTTAAACCTTTTAAAGTATTTCACGTGCATAGATTACCCATATATGTTTATATCCCAAAACAAGAACCCGTTCCGTTATACAACTTCTCTCACTAACTAGTTTTGAACACATAAACAGTATCACTATAATACAGTAAAAAAAACACAATTCTCAACGGAAATAAATTTGAATACTAGTAATCATTCTTATAAGGGATAACAACCTTTGGTTCATTATGAAACTCACTTAATATGACGACATGTTATGGTTTTGTTTACCTGTAGGTTTTTAAACCGCAACCTTACTCTGAACAGTGATGGTCAACCTTCAGTGCCATGATTCGACGCTGAAGTGCGATTTTTATCACGCTGAAATGCGATTGTGGCATTGTGACGCTATCTTGTTAATTGCTACGCCGAGGTCATTGGCAGTAACGCTGAAGTGTGATATGTTACATAAACATTAAGTTGTCATGTTCACTACGTTTCCCATTTTTGTAAAACAAAAGGTTCTGTTTATTGAACCGATGTTGTTGATATTATTTTATTATGCATAAGAAATAGTAGTGTAAGGTGTTAAAATTCATAGGTTTTGATGCTACTACCAGTTTGTTAAATTCTTGATGTAAATCACTAGTTTTTGTCAGAATCCACATCTGCTTGACACCGGTGGTTGATTTCACCTCATCATAGTTATTCTGTGTAAGTCAAGTATTGTATGCTGACATTTTACATCGCATTTTATAAAAACCCATGTAGGTTGGCTTTTTCGTCTCGGGATATCATCGGCCTATAACTCAGTATACGTACAGAAGGAAAAATTCAACGATCTTGTTGGTTACTGTAAAATCACTCTTCCTAAATATTGAAATTTTAAATCAGAATGGTTGTTTCATTAAGTGCATGTTATCAACACATCCGAGCAGAATCAACCAATGATCATATACGACATTATGTCGTTACCGAAGACAATGTTAATGTCAAAAAGGAATGCTCTTTACAGCTATAACGCATAACATTACTACGTTTCAAAGCACCATTTTAAAGATAGTAAACGTTAGAAGGGTAATACACGTTTGAAAAAAAGATGATTGTGATAACTTCAAACCTCCAATTAGGAATGACGAAAAAGGGTCAACTATGTGTATAACAAGACATATACTGTATCAATGTTATGTGATGTTAAGGTGTGGGTGACGTCTGGGTAAAACAAATATTTTCAAACACTATTAAGCGATAAGTTTACATTGCAAACCAAACATCAACGGTGAAATATTTTTTCTAAAATTGAAACATAATCCAATTAGCTATGAAACATTTTTATTCTGGTTCATTTCTGGTTGATGAACTAACAAATTTTTCCCAAATGTATACAGCAAAACTGGACTCTGTTTATATTAATTAATTAATTGAGTTCATATATTAACCCAATATATATAAGCTTTTTTGATCTATGCTTTAATGAACACTTAACAGATGAATGAAAAATTTATATGATGGGAGTCCTTTTTAAGACATTTTAATTTAATTCACTTTTGAAAAATAAGCTCATATATCAATATGATAGGAAATTGTTGTATACTCAAATAAAAAAAGGTATTTATTTTCTTGCATTTCTAAATTAACTTATTTTGTGATGCATTGACAAGTATTCTCTTTAAATTTTATGCATTTTATTCATTGAAGAAAACGTATTTATCAATACTATCTGTAGTATTTATGCTTGTTTTGTACCATTATATATAAGAAAACAAATGAATGACGGGTTTAATTGAGTTCGGTAGTGTTATACTATTGAACTGAAAATGAGTTTCTGTGCTTTTTGTATTTTCATGTGCTTAATTGTGTTTCATATACGGGATTTTTTTTATGAAGACTATTTGTTTCTTACATGTACCCACTTCTAATGAAAAGACATATTAAACTGGTCATTTTATTGTCATACTCCTTTATTTTGAGAAACATTTCTCAAACATTTTAAACGGTTTTCTTATGATATCTTAGACATTTTGGCATAAGCAAACGAAAGTTAAAATGCAATCCTTTTGAAATAATAATAAAATGCTCTGCAGAGCACATCTTGATTGAAATGAACACACGCAGAGGTCGAACCCTGAATAGTTAAAGCAAGTATGGACATAACATTAAGCCTGATTAAGCTCTGAATTTAGATTGTGAATAAATATTTGACACAGTAAATTTCTGACACAGAAAAAAGGGTCTAAGAACTTCAAAATTTGAATAATTAGCTATGAACCTTTCATGGTTCAATATCAGAAATGTTAATAATAAAACATATTAAGATAAAGCATATCGAAGAACCCCAGGAATTTTGGACCCTTTAACCTCAATGTTGACCAATTTGATAACGGGGATAGAAATGTAAATTTTAAATACACAGTCAGATTCAGCATATCAAAGAACCTTATATATTCATGTTTTATTGAAATCAAACAACGTTAAGATTTGACCCAAATTTTGACAGACTTAAACTGGGCCCAAACTAATCTGAGTACAAAATAACCTATCGAATTTAGACAATTGAGGAGGGGGCAGAGTAAATAAATATTCTGAAATAAAATTATAAATCTATTATATGGTACATGTAAAAACCTTTTACACTTGAGTCAAATAATATTTTAAAATAAAGTTATAAATCCTTAATATGGTACATGCCACATGTAAACCCTATTAAGTCCAGACAGACACAATCATTCGTTAATCTGGTACGGAACTAGCTCTTCATTTAATGGTAAGTAAATTTTATCATATTAAAATACAAAGTCGGACAAAATCTATTTCCTTTAATTTGTGAAAAATAAGCATTATGTCATTAAAAACTTGTGCTCGCGATTATTTAAAACACGTAGCAGTCATTCGTCCCTGGCAACTCATTCAATACATTGTGGTCAATGACCCGACCGTGTTAATGATTTTAAGTTTTATAAAAACAAACAATAAATCTTGCATACCCGTATGAGGTAATGAACCTGATCTGTTTTATAAAAAAATGAACAACTAAATGTGTCTTTCATATATGCTATTATGTATCGTGTCAAGAGCAGCACATATTATAGAAAAGCAGGACTTTTTACATTCCAGAACCTGATTTTAGCCCAAATTGCCGGTGCAATTCCACCTCTTCAGTCACAATGTATCTGCCTGCATTGTATTTTGTGAGCTTGTGTGCCTCTTTGTCTTCTTTAATCTTATTTATAGTGTTGTCCACTTGTCTTTGACTAATTTTTTTTGGGTTCAAACTCAGTACCTTTTTGTCCCCTTTCTTAATTTGTATTAATTCAAACTGTTGCAAACAATTATCATTGTATATGGAGTTACAAATATAACAATGTAATTACCTTTATTGCAATATCTACTGTTCTCTAAGTATTCCATATATTCAGCTGATGTTTTGTCAGGATATCTTATATTTAGTATATACTGTTCATGTGTTTTCCTTCTGTCTAAACACGCTTTATACGCTCGTTCAAACTGTCTGACAGTCAACCCGAAAACGTCATTTGAGATAATCATCCCTCCGTCTTCAGATTGGTAAACTAATGGTGTGTATCTGCGCCTTCCGCGGTAAGGGAAACGTTTGACGTTGTATTTTGACCAATAAGTTATTTTCCTCAATCCATGAACATTTTGATCGCTGTCCTTTTGATCGTCTCTTGAGTTTCGGTTCATGTTGGCTGTAAACTATAAATTGAATCTATTGTGCATACTGTGAATGTTTAGCCTCAGATTGAAGTGCAAATGTAGTATAATATTAAACTGTTCTTTTATTTGTGTTTTTAAATTGTTAACTTGACTGTTTGGTCAATTTTTGGTAATATCCGTTTGGCGTGGTTCGGTAATTATTATACATCCCGCCATTGTGTTATTGTGATCTGGTTTGTTTTCTATTCTTGTCTTTCATTTTTGCTTGTTCTTCGTTTGTATACAATTATGTTTTTTTAGTAATTAAGATTATAACACAATGTTTACTGCTGTACATATATTTTTGACACTTTTACCTATTATAATAGTTATCAAAGGTACCAGTCTTATAATTTGATACGCCAGACGCTCGTTTCGTCTACATAAGACTCACCAGTGACTCTCAGATCAAAATCAGTAGAAAGCCAAACAAGTACAAAGTTGAAGAGCATTGAGAACCCAAAATTCCAAAAAGGTAGTGCCAAATACAGCTAAGGTAATCTATGCCTGGGATAAAACAAATCATTAGTATTTCGAATAATTCACACTTTTGTAAACAGTAAATTTATAAAAATGACCATAAAATTGAGAATGAAAATGGGGGATGTGTCAAAGAGACAACAACCCGATCAAAAAGCAGACAACAGCCGAATGAATGCCGCCAATGGGTCTCCAACATAGCGAAAAGATCCCGCACCCGGAAGCTGGCTTCAGCTGGCCCCTAAACAAAAATGTGTACTAGTTCAGTGAAATTGGACGTCATACTAACCTCCAAAACACATAAATGAACCTAAATTAAAAATCAAACAAGACTAACAAAAGCCAGAGGCTCCTTAGTTGGGACAGTCGCAAACATCTCTGTTTGTTTTGCTTACACATTGTTTGAATTTAATGCGACTGTCATACAAGAGATAGAGTTAGATAGCAATAAAATCAGGTTTAATCCACCATTTTCTACATAAAGAAATTCCTGTACCAAGTCATGAATATGAAGGTTGTTTACGACTCGTTTGATATGTTTGAGCTTTTGATTTTGCCACTTGGTAAAGGGGCTTTCAGTTTTGAATTTTCCTTGGAGTTCGATCTTTTTTGTTATTTTTACTTTTTATATATATGATATGTATAATGTTTTTAAAGTTTACTATATGTGTTTAAGATATAAAGTATGTCCATTCTTGCAGAAATATTTAATAATAAAATACTTACCCTAACTACAAGTAATTTTGCTAGTCTTTTTTTAAAACAAATAAACGCTTAGATAACATCAAACAGGAATTTCCACTTTCGATATCAAAATAAACACAGTCACTATTTTACGTACTTTTAGGTCGCTGTAATTAAAAACGTCTGTTTTTATCGCTATGGTACACTTCTATTGTTTGATATGTGATAAAAACAAATGCTATATAACGATGACACATTAAAACAAAAACAAAAGGCCGTTCTGGGTGATATTGTAAAAATACATAATACGTTTAAATAAAGAATAATATTGAAATAGTTTCAAATTGTTAAAAAATATTTACACAAAACAAAACAAACTCGACAATAGGAAAACAAAACAAACAGAGCATTCTTTTGTCATAATACTGTCTCTGTTGTTCATACTGTGTTTAAATGAATAAATACAAAAATTGAGAAAATGTTGATATCAAACGTAAAAACACGACTTACAACGGACAGCAGCAGGCAAAAAAAAATGACGGAAAGAAAAATACCAGTTAATTTAGAGTAACTTAGTAACATCTTAATGTTTTAGTATACTGTTATGATCCTATTTTATCTCCTCGTGTTTTGTCTTTCTCTCTGCGCTAGAACTGTTTCTTCTTTCTGATAAATAATTGATTAAAGAAACGAAATGCTCTTTCATTTTGTAAGAGTCCTAAAGTAGTAAGGGTCAAAGTCGTCAACATTTTCACATTAATCTGATGCGGTCAGGTTTATTACAATTGTTTTCCATTCGTTTAGTTGGATGAGAAAGTCACTTGTTTGATTTGGTCAATTTTTCTAAGCTCCCCTTTTTAAATTACCTCGGAGTTCGGTATTTTATAAATATCGTTTCAGTATGACGTAGTATAATGTATGGAAAGTTTAATATAATTGTTTACGATATAAATTATGTCTATTTTGAGACAAATATTTCATAAAAAAAACCCCGACTTACCCTTGTAATCAATAATTCTGCTTGTATTTTTAAAACAAAATTGACGCTTGGATCAAATCCAACAGGAATTTCCACTTTCGTTATCTAAGTCAACCCAATCAGTCTTTCAGGTATTTAAAAGTTTGTTGTTATTCAAATTTTATTTCATCATCGCTATACTACACTTAAATTTAAAGTTATTGAATCGTACAAATAAATTAAGACAAAAAAAAACCCACACTCGAAAATGAATTGTTAAAAAAGGACTAATTCGGGCAGTAAATTTACAAAAGGGTTAAATCTTTCATGGAATAAGAAACTTTCTAGCAGTTCCTAATATTATAAATGAGCTACATTAATCTGTTGTCGTTTCAGACTACGCTTCTAATTCAAAACATGAACCATATTCATTTGAAGACAAATGTTTTTCTTGCAATAAAATTGTAATGAGGACATTCAATCTAGAGTCTGTTACTCTTTCAGACTACATAATAATAAATATGTGATAATAAAAATTTTATTTACACATAAAACTAATTAATTACTTTTAAAACTGCCACCACACCTTTTCCACAGTCAAAGACAAAACAAAAGTACAAACGATTGTCCTTTGGAAATAAGGTTATTTAATATTTACCTGCACCCTAAGTTAGCAAGCTTAAAACTTAAGACACATATTATTGCTGTTTTGGCCTTACTCATGAGTTAACACCAATAGAATTTAAGTACATCCCTATGTCATGTATATATAGTTTTGACGGACGATATAAAGACAATTTGGTTGCGGACCCTTTTCACGATTCTACGTTTCTCTGGTTAGAGTTTATACTTGTACCAATGTCTTAAGACTAAGTTGAAAACATTAGTTCAAACAGTCGTTATAATAAGACAATACCAAAAAATTAATAATTAGATTAAAATTCTCCCAAATGATTTGCATTCTTCTCTCAAAATTTATTATGTTATTAAAGATCTACAGTTTTTTCATTACATTGCACAATCCAAGATGGCGGAAGAAACAAAAGCTGCCTACATTTTATTCGTTTGGCATACGGTGATTTTGCAAATAATGGACATTACCGGCATGGTTTAAAATCGATACTTGATATTGCTTTTGTTACACATACGTTTTACTACTTCCTTATTAATATTCTTATACATACGTTTCATTCCCAGGTAAATATTACAACATTTGTATTACCTGTAATACAACAAACGGTACATGTGTTTGACACTTCACATATAGACATATCGAATGTCTTAACAGTCCCCCAAAATTGTTTAAATATGTTTTATGTAATTGTTTTGTTTCACGGTGCTACACAAGAATTCAGTGCTTTTACTTTATTTGAATTTCAGTCTTTAAAAAAAAGACAACATGAATTCCTGTAAGCTTGTAACACTGGTTTTTACAATGCATTGTGCACATGGTAACGAGAAGAAATTGATTGGATCCTTCAACAATAAGACTTCGAATAATCCGTTTCTTTGGGTGTTTATGAGATCACCCCGAGTTTTTGGTAGGGTTCATGTTGCTCAGCTTTTTGTTTTTATGTTGTTTTGTGTATTGTTGTTTGTCTGTTTGTCTTATTCTTTTTAGCATTGGCGTTGTCAGTTTATTTTTCAACTAATGAGTTTGAATGTGCCTTAGGGATCCTTTTCCTCTCTTTTATAAAGCAGTCTGACAGAATGGCGACAAAAGATAGTCGTATAGTAGACAAATTTGACAAGCTGGACGCAAAACAAGATGAGCTTCAAAAAAATGTTCACGTGAACTGCGAAGCATTTGAACGAAATAATATTTAAATTTTCTTACTTTTGGGAATCGGCAAACCTAGCTCCCATGGTGACAAATATTTAAACCACAGTGACAGAGCAATTACAAACGAGGTTGATAATTGATGAGATAATTAATTCAAAAACTTTACTAAAACAGAGGTTTACAATCGGAATTAACTTTTCGGAAGAATCATGTCATACAGGACAAGCACATCTCACTAAACTTCGAATACAGTGTGACAAAACTGAAACAAACTTAGTCAAATTGCAGAGCAGGATAGTTGTTTGTTTTAAGAAAAACATCAGAAAGTTGGAGGACTAAACAAAAAGAATTATTAAAATGTTTGAAAGATGTTAAGTGTCATGTTTGGTAATTAATTGATAAAGTTTCAAAACTTGATTAAAAGTAAAATTAAAAGTTCATAAAAAATCAATAGCACAAACAAAAAAAGAATGTCTAAAACCACTATGGATTTAGTTATATAGATACAATGGATAAGCGTGGATTCTTGAAAAAGAAACCATGAGCCCGGAGGGCGAATGGTTTGTTTTTCATGAATCTACGCTTATCCATTGTATCTATAACTTAAACTATTGTGTTAATTTCTTTTCAAAATTAAAGCCTTTTCTTAATTAGAAGGTATTGTAAGTGAGTTTAAATAACCATGTTATCGTGTCCAACGATGCATTGATAAATCTCAGATCACAATTAATTGGTTAACAAAATACAAATATAACACTTCTACCTTTAAAGATCTTTACATAATCAGGCATCTGAATATTATCTGTTTTTACAAAATAAGACATATTCGAACTTATTTCTAATAAAATTGAGAATGGAAATGGGGAATGTGTCAAAGAGACAATAACCCGACCAAAGAGCATATATAAAGTATATATAATAAGTATGTTACCGAAATTTCTAGCACTCTAGGCACATCACGATTTTCTCGCATAGGAATTTGCGAACAAACATTTGTAAATTATGTAGTAAAACAGATGAAATCATACTATATTTATACAACAAAAATTGACAAATAGAATGTAATCATTTTTGTTTCAAACATGTGAAATAGCCAATAATAATCCAAAAAATAAACGGTAAAACTCGCTATTATTACAAAAATATCCACTATTACATGCAAAATTAGAAAAAGACAGAATTGGGACAACAGAGATAATACAGGGATTCGAACCTAAACCGACAAATTCCTATCTTTTAACTCGTTGATTTTAAGCATGCTAACCTCGCGGCTACCAACTTATACTATACGACTGCCCGTTGCGTATATATAAAGGTACAACCCTTATGTGTCCTATATTCATTTATATATATATAATAGACATCTAAGTTTTAACCCATTGGTAGCCGAGAGGTTTCGTCGATGTGTTGATGTAAGTCAAAACAGATTTCAAGGAAGGGTTCGATTCCCAGTGAAAGCATATACAAATTACAAAAATTAAAGGTAAGTTTTTAAATTAATTCCATTAGTGAACAGAAATCAGTAAATTAGCCAATTCAAACTTTATGAAATTAGACACACAAAGGAAACAATTGAATATAATTTGGTAAGTCCATTTCAGCGGCAGATTTAGGAAGCGTTGATTCTAGAAAAAGAATCCACGGTTAATGAATAGACTGACGTCACCACAATGGTTTAAAATGTATTCATCATTTTTCGTGGATATCATTTTTTGTGGATTTCTCGGATACAAGTAAAATTATTTGAATTGTTTCACGAAGTACACATTTTCCTAAGATTTGTGTATAGACTTCAAGTGTTCCTGAAAATATAAGTTTTTTCTCAATCATCAAAACATTGGTAGTAATTGAATCCACAGAAGATAGTTTCTTCTCTTATTTTTTGTATTGTTGTCTCTTTGAAACATTCCCCGTTTGCACTCTCTATTCGATTGGTATTGCAATAAGTGTTGGTCTTAACAGGAAAATAGTTCCCTACCTAGGACAAGAAACTGATATCGGAAAAAAATATTCTTAAAGGAAAAGCACTATTAAAATAAACTAAACATAGACACCATGCATTAAATTGTGTACTCTTCAGACACCATTTTCGTATACTGAAGATTTATCAGTGACACTATAATAAGAGTTTAAGAGGACAATTTTTAATTTTTGAGTTAGCAATAAAAGATTTGGTTTAGCGTGTCAGTTGGAACGTTTGACAATGCTGTTAAATTTAAGTGATTTTGGTAGCAGATGTACAAGAAATCTTTGAATTCTTAAGAATCAAAGGACATCTAACAGAAACTATGAAATATTCGAGTTTCAGAGGACATTTTCCTAATTGATTTTTATTCTAATTTACCTGCAGGGGATATCAATTGTGCACAAGGTTGAAGATTATACGGAAAACACTGATACTTTTTTCCACGAAAGAAGATAACCTGGAATGTTGCAAAGGTAGATTGAAATTAAAGAGAATCTCCTAAATACACGATCTTGATTTATTTGAATTCAAATAATACAGACCGAAAAGATAATTAAAAAAGTATTTTTGTAGTATATAATGTTTTGAACATGTATAATTGATTTCAGCTTCTCATTGTAATACTAAAGGCTAAGGATAATGTTTCATCATCCTTCCTTCATTTTGTTTCTTGGTGATTCGTGATGTCGCTTATAGGTTTTGAGTGCGATCCCTTACTGGAATAAGCCATGAACAAAAAAAACAGTATTTGCTTCATTCCTCTCAACTTTTAGAAATAATACCAAAAACTGATCGGTTAGGAGTTAAAGTGATGTTTCTGAGTAGGAAGATTATCTTCCATTGTCAGCTAACTTTTTATCATAGCACGGTTCAAATTCGACTCATTGTGATGTTCTAGCGCAGAGCAGGCAAAAATCACATAACACTTAAATGGTAGGTATATGAATATCGTTAACTAACAACAGTTAACTACACAAGACGTAGCTATCAATTAATCAATCTAAGTCTCTCTTCTGAAGAAGCCGTCATAAACTTAAACATAAAACATCTGCATTTCTTTTGGAATGAAGGTGTTAGTTTAACGTAACAAACTAGTGTAATAGTTAGTATCTTGTTATTGTGATGTTTCATAAATAATATTCTATTCTGATAACTTGATCTGTAATATGTGTTGTTTTTTGTTTCATCATACTAAGGATGATTATAGACAAAGAGGTGGTTTCTTGGTCAAAGTTGAAGGAAAGGCTGAAATGCTGGAAATTATTAGTTGTTAACAGTATGTGAAAGTATGAGACAAAATACATTATTTACATTATTTTGATTGAATTAGATAGAAATATAATAAATATCCAACGTCATGAGGAAATGTTTTTTTT